CGAAAAGTTTGCCCGTGGTCCCTCCGACGGAGGTTTTTTCCAAAAAAAATGGACTGAGGTAGGTACAGGTGTACTTTTGACGACAAATATTTTTTGTTAAAACATACATCGTTCGACTCAGTTTTTTATGTCGATGCCGAATATGACATTCATTTTGTTCTTTAATAAAATGATGATAGTAAAAATTACTAAATACGAGAGAATGCTCTAGGATTTTGCCATTGAAATCGAGAAAGTTCATTTTCTCAAGAATGAAACACAATGTAGAAAAAGTAAACAGATACTGTTAAAGCTCGTGTTTCAGCGGCTCTAATGAGGTTAGACATTTGCTTTTATCTCTTTGTACAATAAACTGGTTAGGTTTGCAAAGTTGCATACTAGCATACTCTAGTAGCGGCGTTCGATATAGCCCTACTCGACAGATCTTTAACTTCAAAATCAATCAAATACCACTCTCATACTCAGTTTTCAATGGCGAATCAGAAAAACCACTTTACAAAAGTTTGTGCAAGAAAAATGACAAAAACGTTTTTTCCAACTTTTAGATGCATCGAGTTTTTTCAATTTTTCTCACTTAAAAAATTTAAAACCAAATATCGAACTCTGTCAAAAAAAATTAGATAAAATCTTCTCCATTTTTGCATTGTTGATATTTTACAAAGAAAATATATTATACCAGCAATCCAACTTCGTTCTAATAAACCTTCTTTCTTTTCAACAACAAATATTAATGCTGTTAAACCAATGGCCAAAAAAAATATGATACTAAAATATGAGTAGAAATAACGAATTTGAATTATTGACAATGAATAATATACATACGATATCATCATTCCTGGTGCAGCAAAATTCAAAAATCGAGGCGTTAAATCACCATAGATTGGCTTTTCGATCTAAAAAATAAATAAAATAAGGGAATTGCCGCCGCATACTAAAGTTTTTTCTGATCAAATACCCCAGTCAAAAAAACCCTTTTTTCTAGATGATTAAAACTGATTCTAAGATAATTGTTGATGCTGATCACGAATCTGATATTTATTTAGACTCATGGAGATTTCTACTACTTATTCTCGAAATAGATCCTATAGTGTCAGTTTTATAGACTCAGAATGCCCGTTTCTAGAGCAACTCGAATGACATGAAAACATTTTTTAGACTTGTCAGAGAACTTCTGACTGAAGTAAAAATATTTAAAACTTTAAAAATAGTCAACAACATGGAGACGCTAAAGTAATGATTTTCTGATTCAGTAACAAAATAGTTAGTTATTCAATAGATCTAAAAAATGTTATTAAATATGTAACTCGCGTTGCTCTACCAATTGGCAGTATCAAAACTTGTTAAAGTGAAACTACGAAGTGTAACTAATCCACTAATCAAGAATGACAGAAGAAATACTCCTAATTTCTATTTTAGATTAACGGATGTACCATAAACAATGTCGGTCTCGGTATTTTTGCTCTAACTTCTGTTCCTCAGGATCCGCAGAGATTATTTTTTAAAAACAGAACCGTCGTAAAATTCTCTACAAAATCATATCTAAACTTTAATTTCACAACTTCAATCAAGAAAACTAAGTAATTTGTACGGAAACGCGAAAAAAAATGAAAACGTTGTAAATTTAGTATTTTTTTCGAGCTGAACTTTTACTTCTGTTATTATTTCCGTAAAAGCGTGTAACAGAAGTGAGAATTCAGTTCGTGCTTGGTACTTTGAAATGCGCACTTTCTCGTAGTCTGTAAAAACATTTGTTTAGAGCAGAAAGTGTGCTTGAGAATGACGTTTCAAAAATACGTTAAAAATTGACAACCTCCTCGTTTCCGACAATGTGTCCAAGCAAGAAACAGAAAACATAATCGAAGTTTTGATTTTGCAGTTAGGTAGAGACAAGCAATAATTTCTAATCAAAACAAAACAAATTCGATCGAAAAATCTTTCATTTTGATGGAGTTATGAGACTTTTACTGAAAGCACCACCATACACAGAATTTCAAAAATTAATGAAAAAATACGTGACAACCGACCAGAAAAATTTTCGCCGTAGATTTTGATTTGAAATAAGTCTGAAGTGTAGCTAAAAGAAAGCCACGGCTATAAAATGACTAATTCATTTTTTCTTACTTTCAAAACGTTAACACAAGAAACTGTTTTTGAGTTTACAAAGTTTTCATGTTTTTTCGCGTTTCCGTATAATTTACTTAGTTTTCTTGATTGAAGTTCTGAAATTAAAGTTTAGATATGATTTTGTAGAGAATTTTACGGCGGTTCTGTTTTTAAAAAACAATCTCTGAGGATCCTGCGAAACAGGAATTAGAGCAAAGATACCGAGATCAACATTGTTTATAGTACATCCGTTATATTGTAGAATTCACTCTAAAATTAGACTTTACTTATTCAATTGCTATTGTTTTATAATCATTGAAAAACTTTCATATTTACAACAACAACAACAACAATAACAAGCAAAGACTTTATTCACTTTGTTCAACTTACAATAACAGGTGGATCTGCAATTCTTGGATCAATTTTATTTTGTATCAGTAATTCTTTCATAAATAATTGCGTTGCAGTTAATATAGAATTTTGCATTACATAAGTGACTTGTTGATCTATTATTAGCATAAAGACAGATGATATGTCATATTTTTTTAAAATGAAAAATATTTACTTGTCATATCCAGAAAAAGATGAACGGCACTTTGATCCAATGTTGCTGGATCTGCTTTAAATTTTGTTAATCTAAACAAGAGAGAAATATATTATGAACATGAATAAATACAACAAACTTTGTCTTACTTGTCTAAAATAGCTTGACTAAAATTTTTTCTTATATTCATTACACCATAGTAATCACCCTTTTCAACATACGCAGTGGCTAACAACATGTCATCAAATGAATGCTAAAATAAAATAGAAAATTGAACAGTTTAATATAAAGAATAAAATTTTGATATTTTTCATGATTTTATTGTTGAAAATGGTATTTTTTTTAACTTTTAAAATGCTGATCACAAAGTATACATGCTTTGGTCACTGATCAAGGATATAAGCTGTATGGATTGAGCAGCGGGAGTAGAACACACTACAGCAATGCACAGGACGGGGATGAGAATACCTCAGAGTTTACTTTTAGACAATTTAGTTCTACTAAATACAAATGATTTATTGCTCAGGTCGGTTCATATTATCTGTTCTTGCCGATTATTGAATACTATGCTGTTATTGACGTTCTTTTCCTCTTAATATTCCATTTTTAAATTATTTTTCCCCTAATCTTTTCGGATAGCCATTATTCATCAAGATATTGTCTACATACTGACTTTTATTTATTTATTTTTTTAAAATTTCATTTGAATATATCTTTAACACTATGACTACCAACGACGTGACGCGTCCAATGTATTGATATGTTGAAAGACGATCTCATACAAGACAGTCATGCTTTGAATGAAGAAGATTCAAGAAGAGTAAAGGATTAGTGAAATAATCAAAATAGTGAAACTCGAAGTTACTCTTATTATTTATTAAATAAATTTGCCCGATAATACGCGTTGAAAACACGCAAAGAGAAAATTTTCTCTGTATTGTCATCTTAATTCTGAAGTTTATAGAAAACACTCTTCTTTTGAAGAAAATAAAAAAATTATTTCATGTACATTCAAGTTGATGTATCAAGTAGTTTTTATTTCTTCTGTGAATTTACGTACCAACTGTATATAATCAGTATTAATTTTAGTTAATAATAATAAACTTCGATTTCCTGTTGGATAATTTGCAAATGATTCATCATTAACTAATGCCACTGGAATACGCTGTGGATCACCTGTGTAGAAAGACAGAGACATTTTTAGTTTTTTAATGATAAAAATCAAACAAAATTCGATTTACATACGCCCAATGCAAAGGCAAAACAATGATATTTGTATAACCGGTATCAAAAATTGAAATATTAAAAATCTGAAAAAAGAAAAGAAATAAATTTGTTGTCATTTGAGTGTACTTTAAATGAACAATACATACCCAATACTTCGTTTGATTACTGTTAAATCTTTCACCATTAATGCCCAAATTTTATGGGCATGAGGGCAGATACAACAGTCAACTGCCGCACGCTTCGCAGTCAATATTGCTAAACAAAAATAATATGATATATACTATAGATCATGAACTATGAAATATTATTATTTTTAAGTCAAGGAAAAATCTATACATCTGTTTGTTTTTAATTTTTTCATCAATATATTTGGTGTAAATAGAATACTTACGACGTTTAACTAATTGTGTGGGTTTTATTTGTTCAGCTGATATTTTTCCATTTGGTAATATGTCTGTATCACCTCCTTCTGACCTTGCTGTTCGATCGTTTAATGCCGCTTCTGCAATCATTTCTGGATCGAGTGAAACACTTGCTGAATAATTTTCTCGATCGACCACACCCGTTCCATTCTGATAAGTTGGTGATGACACTACCTATTGTTGTATAAAAATTTTTAACATTTTTTTCCTCTACATACAAAGAAACTATACCTGATCATTAACGGCCAAAGAATGAGCACCGGTATTTGTCATTGTTGTTGCTTCTAATTGTTGATGTTGTAGATCTTCATGAGCACTACTATTTCGTTTTAATTTAGATAAAACACGATTTTGATCTTCGACACATAAATTGAGAAAAACATTCTCTAAGCTCTAAAATGAAACATTATAACAAATTGAAATTGACATTAACACATAAAAATCGATAGAAAGATGATTAAGTTCTCAATGTCAAAAGAAGAAAAAATTTTCTTATTTTTATAGTAATAACTATAGCAAACCTAATCTAAAAATTGAATACGTACAGATTGATTGTATTTAGCTAACAAAGCAATTGGTTCATCTTCAGCCAACATTCTCCCACTGCGCATGAGACCAACCTAAATAAAATATAATTATGCCAAAAAAACAACAACAGACAATGATCACAGTTCAATAAAACGTCCGATGTAGTTTAGGTTTTACTTGTTCTTATTCTGACGAACTAAAGGATCAATCAACTCAAATATATTGTTTTTAAAACTTTAAGTTGTTACTGGTATTTGAAAATTTAGATTTACAGAATTTTTATTCAAAAAATTAATAATTAAACAGTATGGCTCCATATATTCCGTTCTCGGATCATAATCCAAGTAGGGCTGCAAACTTTCAGCGTTCCATTTTAGCGTTTTCTTTGAACTTGAACGCTAAAGCACGTTGGTGTTCCTTGAACATGAACACGAGTGTTCTAGTGAACGTGAACGTTATTCTATATGAAAGGTATTGATCTTGTGTGGAATGAATAGTATTACAAAACGTAATATAGCAATTTCACCTAGTAGTATACCAAGTGAAACACCTTTCTCCACTACCAATTTTATTTAGTGAAAAATCAACGTTCACTAGCTTCCAAATGGGTTACTATAACAAAGAAAAAGTACGTATTTACGGAAATGGTTTAGACCAAGGAACTTCGGTTCCACTATAGAAAAAACTAGTCTCCTGGGGGTCGTATCACAAAAAAACTTAAGCCAAAGAGTGACTTAAGCCATGGGAAATGTAGTCTTAAAGTTAAGACCGAAAACTTAAGTCGGATTTGAGTCATTGACGCATTTTTTGAACACGCCGCAATTGCACTTAAGTTCTTATGCATAAGAACAGAATTTTATATTTACTTCAGACAATATGAACATTGTTCGTATAAAAAAAGCTCACGTTCAGTAGTGCTTTAGCGTTCATGTTCAAAGGAACGAAACTTGAACTTTTACAGGCCTAAATACAAATGGACTCAATTTCAAAAAAACTCAATGACCTTATTTGGTTCCAAATTTCTTTATTGAAAATGGCCTAAGGTGATTTCAATTCTAGAAATTTGTGGTTCTTGGACTATATTCAACTATGCAAGACAGATAATGGTGTGCTGATGACCTTCAGGCGCTACGAATCAGATATTTATCTCTTCTCTTTCTTTTTCTTTTTCTTTTTTGATCTTTAAAATGATAGTTTTTTTATTTTGTGGCTATTCCCATTTGTTTATGTTGTGTTTCTTCAGATAATCAAATACAATGCTTTGTGATTCTTGACTATCTGTGATGCTTATTTCAGGTGACTAATAAATATAGATTAAACTAAATCAGATGATATTAAACTCATCCTCAAGAAATGTGATCTTTTCGAATCATAATCATTATTGTCGTTTTTCTCTATTACCGTTTCTTTTTCTGTAACATTGTCATTTCGACAATAAACAAATAAAACATTGTACAGAATTTCTACGTACTATCTCAGAATACGACGGAATAGTAGAATTCTTCTAAAACTCTTTAAAAAGATCTCAAAAAATTCGTCAAGATCGTTTGAAAACTGACTCAATATGACAATACATCATCACAGATAACAATGTTTGAGATAAATAATAAAAAAACTTTTTTTTTTGAAACACGAATAGAGAGATAACACTTTCTAGAATCTTTTTTTCTGTGAAACAGGTAGAAAATCCCTTAAAATTTTTCTAATAATGATAATAAATATAAGTTCTAAAAGTACCTGTTCTAGACTATACACCTATCCGTTAATCTTACAAATGATTTTTCTCAAATAAAATCTATTTTTCATATTACACAGGTCTTCTTAAACAAAAAAGGTTACACGATTACTTACTCTATTTGCTTTTCTTGCTTCTTCAATATAATGTGTTGTAATAACAATTGTTGTTCCATTTGTTTTTGATATAAACATTAAATGACTCCAAATTCTAAAACATCAAAAGAAAACCCACAACTGGTGTTTATTTTTGTTACTTTTGAAAAATGACAATACAAACATACTTTTCTCGAAGAAGAGGATCAACGCCTACAGTTGGTTCATCTAATATTAATAATTCTGGTTGTTGTAACAACGCACACGCTAATGATACACGACGTTGTTGACCACCGCTAAATATATAATATTTAAAACATTTAAATATTAAATAGATTTTATAATTAAAATTACCTTAATTGATTAATTTTTTTTGTTTTAGATGGTAAATCAAGAAATCCTAATAAAAATGATTCTTGTTTTAATATTCCTTGTCTACTCATATTATGTAAACGACCAAAATAATGTAACATTTCACTAATATTGAAATCTTTGTATAATGCTGTTTCTTGCGGCATAAATCCAACTTTTGCACCTGGTACACCATGTCCTCTTGAACCAGGTATTGCTCCTAATACCGTTATTTGACCATTATTTAATTGTAAACGACCAACAAGACATCGTAATAACGTTGTTTTACCTTATGAAAAAATAAATAAATAAATAAAAAATTCTTCATGCTTTTATTTTATCTTTCATCTACTCACCACAACCACTTGGACCCAATAAACCATAACTAAAAACAAAATATCAAAGTTCTAATAGTAATTATTAAAATTTAATCATTCTATAACATACATGAAACCTTTTGGTACACTTAAATTAACATCATGTAACACATTTACACGTTTCCAATAACCATAACTTTTATAAGCATTTTGTACACATATTGCTAATTCACCATGATCATTCTAAATTAAGTTAAAATTAATAACATATTATACTTTTTATTATTACTATTTTAACGTTAAATTTTCACAGCATACTGAAAAAAATTGAATATTAACAAAAAAAAAATTTTTTTCTCTATTCCTACCTCATTGTTTGATATACCATTTAATAATCCTTCCAAGACATTAGACATTTGATTTTGAGTAAAAGAATATTTTTTGTTTTGAAATATTTTTTTTCTCAACGACTAGCATCAAAACAGTCGTAAGTGAGCCACAATATTATTGTTATATTTGGTTTGTGCACTGTTTATCAGCTAATTACATTATGGGAAAAAATGATCATTTTAAAAACACAATATATTTAATTATAGTAAATTAATGATATAGAAAACATACTACAATCTATAATTAAACGTAAAATTTGTATATATCTTTTAGCCTAGCATTAGTAATAAAATGATTATCTAACAAAAATATTAAATAAAATAAAATGGTAAATATTTTTAATATTTTGATTATTTTATTAAGCTAAAATTCTGAGAGAATCAAAAATGACAGCAGAGATATGCACGGGTTAAGAAAATGTAACTCGAAGTTGATCCGACCCTAGAGCCGGATCGGGTTGCAAGTCTCTGAATGACAATCTCAGAAACACACGATCCTGTGCCAGATTATAGTAACACTTTGTTTCTAATGTTTTTTAGCTCGATCGTAACTGATAGAAAGAGTAAATCTAAAAAGTGATCTCAGTAGCTGAAAGAATGTTTGATCTGGAGCGATGTGCATGCAAGTTGCTGCTTTGAAATCTGTAGAAGAGCAGAACTTTACGATATTAAGCCGCTGAGTTCAATCGAGAACATTTTGTACACAGTTCAGTCGAACAGAACACACTTTTCTAGACAAAGTAAGACATCCTCGAGCTCTCCTTGACATTCTTATATTGAATTACATTCATTGTACAAAAGATCCTAGTCTAGAAACGTTTGTTCTGTTCGACTTAGCTGTGTGTAAAATGTTCTCGATTGAACTGAACGATTTGATATCGTAGAGTTCTATTCTTCTACAAATCCTTATAGCAGCAACGTGCATACACATCGCTTTAGATATAAAACTATTTCACTTACTGAAATCACTTTTTGAATTTGCTCTTTCTGTCAATTACGATCGAGCTAAAAACGTTAGAAACAAATTGTCTCTATAATCTGGCGCAGGACTGTGTGCTTTTGACACTGTCTGTTTTATTGTGTATCTTCAATTATCTTGTACTGTAATAGACAAAATTATCTAACATTTCTCTCTTATATAAATCATTCATGAGTACAGCACGTACAGCAAAAGCAAAAACGTACAGTTATTTCACACTTAGCATTAGCTGTAGAATATAAAAACATGATATTACTTACATTAACTAAAAACGTGTTTTATATAAAAATAATGATGTTTCAAAAGTTAGATAAAAAAACTTAACTAACCTGTTTTTTCCTTTTAATATGAGAATGTAATAATAATTTTTCTATCTGCAACTATAAATGATCAGTACTAGTTTAGCTTACTGTTTTTACGATTAGGTAACACTATCATTATTTATAATCGACAAGTAAATTAAACGATATGAGCAGATTCATTCGTTCGACATTATTCACTGATATCGATGACAAATGCTATCATCAATTGTCACAATCGACTACAAACGATTATTTAATATTAAATAGTTTAGTGACTAACACGAGTAGAGATTGTAATCTTTTATTTTTAGAAGATGGTAAAATCACATGATTCAAATGTAGAAATACAATACCTTATCTTCATTGCGCCTTACACTAGTATTAAATAACAACAAACAGCAGCTATGTCGTTCGATGCGTTCAAACTGATCCATAATCAATTTTCAATGACAGTAGAGCTATTCTTTAAGGGAACTATCCTCTTCACTTTATTATTTTTCTCAGCCAGTTTAATAGAGGATACGCTGAAATACCGAAGGAAAAAATCCCTGGACTTCTGTAATTTTCAAGCAAAACTAGGTTTTTGTCTCTGTTTTGAACTTTCATTTTCCATTTTTAAAGCCTCAACTCTTGCGTCAATAAGTCGAGATAGAATCATCGAACAGTTGATCCAGCAAAATTGTAGTTTTCCCTGAAAGAATTCCGGAACAAACTTAACTATTGCTTTTTCCAGGCGATTTTGAAGGGAAAACTTTATTTCAAATAAACATTTGGGCATGGAAATCCTGACATAAAAATTCAGTTTCTCAAGTCAGAATAATGACTTTTTGACTTCGATCAATTGAAACTGAAGAAAACAATATTCTTGAATTAAAAATCCGAGCTTTTAAGGGATTTCAAAAAAAATTTCTCATTTTTCGCTCTCAGAATTTGATTAATGACAACTTCTCTACTCAGGGTCTTCGTTTCAAAATGCTTTTATTGTTTGCTGAAGACAAAAATTTAGTTTACAATATTTTCGTCTCGAAGAATGAAAGGCTAAATTTTTTCTGAAAGTTTATTCTCGAATAATGAAAATTTTCCTGTATAAACAGTCTCACGTTCTATTTCGAACAGCTCAGTCATCACTCTTTTTAGACGGAAAAATAAAAGGTTTTGAAATTGAAAGTTCAAAAAATGGTAAAAAACTGACGATGAGAAAAAATTGATTTCAAAAACAAACGGCAATATCTACGACTAAAACCTTTTTTAAAAACAATGTCTTAGAAGAACGTCTATTATAAACTGACAAAGAAAAATCAGATGAAGGTCTTCCATTAGTTTCTGTCAAAAGTGAATGAATCTTGTTGACCACTAAAATTAACTGGGTAGATCGAATAACAGTACAGATCACGACAAACTTTACGTACAACAGGTTAACCATCGCTGTTCCGATCTCACTTCAAACATTTTTTTTGAAACAAAGAAATGTTATATTGAGATCAGGATATATTTTCATACTGAATAAGTTTACGATAAAAATGAATACATAAACCGGTAAAAATCTATAAATTTGTTCTACTTTTGGTTTAATCATCTATTTTCATGGATTCAGTAAATACATTCTGACAATGGCCAATAAATAAAAAAACAAGGTATGACTCACAAACACCGATATAATAATAAAAACTTCTTTTTTGAGAATACAATTAATAAAAAAAATAATAAAAATAAAATGAAGAAACTATTTAATTAACAATAATCATAAATATTCTAGTCAAATTTTTCATAGTACACACAGTAAAATATGCTTCATCAGTGACATATGTTTTTGTTTTTTTTTTGTTCTAGAAAGTAAAAATAAAGAAATTTAAACATTTCTCAATACACGAACATTTGATTTAAGCTATTTTTATTCAGAAGTGAATAATATACCTAACAACTTTTCTTCTAATGTGCCCAAGTATTACATAGTTGAAGAGTTATTTAACACGATGTTTCCCTAACCGTATATTAAATACATAACAAGAAGAAAAAACGAAAAAAAAAAAAGTTAAGAGGTACACGAACATTTTTTAGAATTTAAATTATATTTTAACTTCACTTTGTGTATATGTTAATATGATGTTAGCTTAAGAACTAAATTACCTTTTATTAATTTTTACCGTAATTTTGTGTTAAACTCAATCACGCATACACAAACAGAGAGAGAGACAAGTTGATAAATGTCAAGAAAAACAAATGCGTCTTATGCAAATACGTGCCTGTTTTAACAGCATATTTTCTATATTTCTATATATATATATATATATTTCTATATATAATAATATATACACAGAAAGAAAGAAAAACAGAATAGTTTTTGAATCGTTACAAATACACACATATTCACCTTGAATTCTAACAATTTTTTATAATGGCAATATTTTAACAATACATATAGAACAAAAATTTATTAATGTGTGATATATCTCTAGAGCGTAGTATTCATTGATAATAGTAGGCGAAATATTCTGTTGAACGATGTTTGTCAAGTATAAAATCACTATATGAAAGTGTTGTTCGACATATTATTTAAAGAGAAATACACCGTCTAAATACATCTGGTTAATTTCACAATACTCATACAATAATTATACAGAATAATAAGAAGAAAAAAGTCATTTTTCTATGCCTCCTTCTATTTGTCAAAACATTTATAGATTGAAAAGTTTTCTACATTTCAAAATAATTCTACTCGATGTCAAAGAGTATAGATTAACTCATTAAGTTCGTACATTGAATAAACGACAATCTACTATCGTACGTGTTTACTATTCTTTTTCTTTCAAAACTTACACATAACAAAGTTCAAAGGCAATAATAATGAGATAGTCCAATGAGATATCATGTCGTGTAATGCTAAAAACGAAATTATGTCTCACTAGAAGGATGATAAATTCAAAAGTTTTACCTTTATTTATTTTACAGATGAACAAACAAATAAACGATAAACAAGGTGTTTTTCTTGAAATTTATTTATTATTATCTTTAAAACGGTGACATTATTTTTAAAAATATAATATGATTGACTAAAATTTAAATAAATTAAATACCGTAAAGAGGAACAAAATAATGTTAACAAAACAACAACAAAACAATATAGTGAGCAAATAAGCAAACGAAAAATAATCCAATCAACCATATTAAAAAGGAACAAACTTTTTCTTTTCTTTTTTCTCAAATTCAATTAGGTTATATAACGAAAACACGAAAAAATTATTAAAATTATAGTTGTAGATTGATTAGAAATAATAATTGTGCATATATCATTCTAAAAAGCGTTTTAAGACAGAAGAAAAAGAAGGCAAAAAATGCTAATTATAATATTTCTGTTGAATTAGAAAAAAAGTGAAAAAAAGCAGAAGTTTATGATATTTAACTTTACTTTTTTTGTCAAAGTTAACCATTCATACAAAGATTTAATTTATTAACAATTATTATTGACGATATAACTGATTTATCGAATGTTTGCTCACAAAAAAAAAGAAAGAGATATATTGTATTTAACTCCGTAATAAAAGTATACGATAAGAATACATACGAAAAGAGAGAGAGAGAGTAAGCGATGAATACTAGGATAATGTACATAAACTTCTTTTTTTTATGATCAACATTTGTCGAATGATCATACGGTTATGCATAGAATTCACCTTATTTTTATTTCGCTAACGAGGAAATCTCCCAAGATTTAATACTCCGTTTCCAGTGATTTATGTGCCGATTAG